CCTTGGCGCGCCGCCCTCCTGTCCTGTCAATGGTTGTCGAGGGCACGCTGGCGGCCAGACCGGGTGGATTTCTCGGTGTGGACTGAGACATGGTCACGTCGGGACGAGATTCCGGCCATCTTCCTGTGCGATTCCTACTCAAGTGATGTGAGAGACAATAGAGGCTCTCAACGCGAGCACCAATGTTGGTCCAAAATAGGACGCTCGTAGGCTTTTAGGAAAGCTACGTAAGAACACTCAAGTAGGAATTAGGAAAGTACGAATATGGAAAGTTGCAAAGGGGATTTGGTAGCCAGAAATAGCATATCTCATTTGAAATTCGGTCTTGCCTTTTATAGGCGATTACAAATGGTAACTACCAGAGACACTAATGGCTAATTAATTACAACATTAATACGGAATTAAATACACAATTAAGTCACACATTAATTACTTTGGCCGTTATAGTTTCTGGCTGGCAGGTCAGTCTGGCTGGAAGGCTGGACGCTTGAGCTCCCTCCTGCTGGACTGGACGGTGGGCTCCCCGCTAGGCTGGAGTAAGGCTTCTGATCGGGCTGGAGGCAAGCTCCCGGGTAGCCTGGAAGGCAGGCTCCCCGTTGGGCTGGAGGCAGGCTGCTGGCCGGGTTGGAAAGCAGGCTGCTGCCTGGGCTGGACCCAGGCTCCCAGCTGGGCTGGTCAGCAGGCTCCCCACTTGGCTGGAAGGCAGGCTCCCCATCGGCTGGAAGACAGGCTCCCCACTCGGCTGGAAGGAAGGCTCTCTTGGGCTTCCGGTTGGGCCGGTAGGCAGGCTCTCCGCTGGGCTGGAAGGCAGGCTCCCCGTTGGGCTGGAGGCAGGCTGCTGGCCGGGCTGGAAGGTAGGCTCCCACCTGGGCTGGACCGCAGGCTCCCAGCTGGGCTGGTCGGCAGGCTCCTGGCTAGGCTGGAAGGCAAGCTCCCCACTGGGCTGGAAGGCAAGCTCCCCGCTTAGCTGGTCGACAGGCTCTCTTGGCTTCCGCTCCTTGATTGGCCTGATCGGTTGGGCCGACTCGAGCTCTGGGTTGCTGGGTTTGGGCCTGCTGGTCCAAGTTCGGGGCCTGGGCAGATTAGGCTCTGGGACTAGTCCTATAACCTCATCACAGGTGATTATCATGCCTTCTTTTTGGAGTATCTATTGAGAGAAATGTGAAACCTAGTTGGGATATCACATGCCACTCCAGTAACTTTCGCATGGAACCACTTCGGCGATATTGAACTCTCAAAATTATTTTCCTCAGATCAGTCATTGACACGAATTAGATGATGAACTAAGTTTCAATATATGACCAATATATATTAAAGAAGCATGATGATTCAAAATAAATTTGTTTAAAAGTTTACTAACAGAAAGCAGTCATTAGGAAATCCAATACACTACTTTTGGTGTTTAAATAAATGAAACATGAATTTTACACTATTCACATATTCTACCTTGACTAAACTTTATTTATCAATGTAATAATGAATTGTTTTAAAAAATATGGTTAAATTGGTCTCATTGTGAATTGTTAATATCTATTTTTTACTCTCTCTATCTTTTAGAACTTTGTCAAATTTCCTTTTTTTGGTTGTCCCATTGACTTTGCCACTTTCCCCTTTTTTTACTCTAGAGGGGTCTAGGGGAGGGGGCTGGGGGTCTGGAGTAATCAGGGTTGAAACTCACAACTAGCTGGACTGGAATACTTGGTTGCCACTTTTCCTTTTAAGTAAAGGATTTGTGGTTCCAATTAATTCTCTCTCTTCTGCACAAACCTCGATCAATCACACAATTTTTACTTTATTAATCTCTATGCCAGTCAAACTTGACAATGTTTTAAAGAACAGAGAGAGTAATTATTTTACAAACTTCTGAAAACTAATTATGATTTTTCTTCTACTTTTAAAAAAGTTCAATAAATTCCAAACACCCCTTTAGCAATAGTAGCACAAGTGTTTTCAACTCATTAACCAAGCCTTTTGGCATACACATAACTTTTGATTTTGTGCATTTGCGTAATAATAAAAATAGCTAAAGTTGAAGTGACTTTTCTGATTGAATTCATTGAAATTACTAAACCCGACTACTTAAGCTAATTTCACCTACTTTTTCTGCATGTTGTAAATAAAATATATTTCAAATGTAATTTTTAATAATAAATACATCCAACAAATTTAGCCACCTAAATCATTCAGAATTTCACTAATTTTAGTATATTCAACTCACTCGACTAATTCCAGTGTTACGAAACGGACCCTTTAGTATAAATGGTCCTTATAGAGTGTAAGACACACTGAATTTTATGAAGACTTTAAGAAAATAAAATAAAATGATATCATCGTTGCTTTACAAATATAACGTTAAAAAAATTAGAGAAAATAGCAAGAATCGATAAAATATAAAAAATAAAATAAAATTACTTACAATGAAAAATGAAAAGGTAGATGGGGTGTTTGGACAATGAAGTTTCAGTCAAAAAATGGCGGTTTGACACTTTTAGCGTTTTCAATAAATGAAAACGTTGTTTGGTAAATAATTGTTCGACCTAGCGTTTTTGGACGAAACCGCTGAAATGAAAACACTACAAATAGGAGAGTTTTGAGTTAGCGTTTTAAAAATGTCGTTTTCTAGTATTTGTATGGCCAAACAGCTAAATTACCAAACAACTTCTCACAACCTGCCAACTTATTCCACTAATCAAACTCTGACCGAATCCAATATTGACAATTCGGTGACATAACCCGCTACCCGCTCGCCGTTAAATGCCAAACATGCCCAAAATATTTGTCAAATTTAATTTGGGAAAATGTTCATAATTGACAAATGAAGTTTAAATTACATTCGTTTAACTGACCAAGTCATCTTAATACAGTTTCAAGCTTCATTAATGGCATTTAGTGATTTGTCAAAATCTTGCTCTAGACATATACTCCTTACGTCCCGTTGGAATGTTCCCGCTTTCCTTTTTTGGATGTCCCATTGGAAAGTTCCCATTTCTCTAAATGGGAAGTTATCCTACATCAAAACATGGTCAAACAGTGCAAAACGGTGTCAAACAGTGTCGAAACAGTGCCAAACAGTGTCGAAACAGTGTCAAAACGGTAAAATTTATCCCCTGGTAAATTTATTTCCTTAATATGTGTGTAGGTTGAATCAGGAACATTTCAACGGGACGGAGGGAGTAGAGCAGAAGAGTTTTGACTTTGTTATGTCTAAAAATTTCAATTATATTTTTCTCCCGGTTAGGTTTGGATGTTAAATCTTGTTTCCGCTACTTTGTTAGCCTTATCTTTACATCTTAGGAGATTTTGTTTAAATCTTGAGTTTTGAATGTAGGGAAAAGTACTTGATTGTGCGCATTTTGAAATAGGTCATGTATTTCATTTTCTAACAAAGTGATTCAAGTGTTTGAACTCTGTAATCACTGAAGGGTCCTGACGCCTGACGCTGTTAAAAACGCTTGAGGAAGATGATGAGTATTAACTCTGATTTTCAAAAGTGTCCGGGGAATTGATTTGACCACCAACCAATTAAGAAAACCCTGTCGAGCAAAAATTGCCTAAATCACCGATCTGATCAGTCACATAAAAGGAGATGTAATTGACTGCTATCTTTTTAAAATGATGGTTCAGGAGGAGAGCGAGTAACTGATGCCTCAGAAAAATTGTGTTCCACAAGCATTACCAATCAATAACAATGTAAAAATATATTGTGATGGTTTCTCGTTCGAGCTTTAAGTGACCCTAAATCAGATCTCACATTGTCATAAGTAGAGGTGGGCAAAAATACCGAACATGCATGCTATCGAATCGGACCAGTAAGATGGGGTTTAAAACGATCTCAATTTTTTTGTCCTGAACCGGACCGTACCGGATTCAAATCATGCCATGATCGGTTCTCATAAAACAAGAACTGGTATCGGATCGTACAAGACCGAAGTATGGTTTAAACATACATGTATTCCATTGTGTGGATTTATGTTTTGTACATCTCAAATTACACCTCAAATTAAGTAAGCGTATATATCAAATTAATTTTTGTTGTTTATGTTTTATACAACTATAGTTTATTTGAAATTTCTTAATTATGTAAAATGAAAATTGATAATTTGTCCGAATTTTTGGAGGATGACTAAGCTTTAATTTTTCCTTAGAGATATTAACCGAAATAGGACTAAACCAATTAGAAAATTCCAAAATATGACTGCCATATTTTTATTCCCAAAATAGGACTAATTACTGCCATGTTTTGGCAGTACCAGACCTCAAACATGTCAGTATTTTCTAAACATGTCACTAATTAGTCCTATTTTGGGAATAAAAAACATGACAGTCCTATTTTGGAATTTTGAAACTGTTTTAGTCCTATTTTGGGAACTTTCCCTTTTCCTTAAACATTTGAAAAAACAACATTATTTGGCATTTGTATTGCATAATACCGTTCCGTTTGAAAATAAAATCGCACTAAATGAGTTTTAGTCTAAAACTCATTTGACAAAAATATTGGATTGTTCTAGATCGTGTCCACCCCTCTTCAGAAGGCAAGATCTAAGACGAGATCTAATCATTAACAAGAACTAGACCACTTCATCCACCCTATTTTTGTATACAAATATTTAGATCAGGACCCACACTCCTCCAAAACCTATGCAAAAATTGATTTTGAGGAAGGACCATAAAGATATGGACTCGGTCATACTTGCATTTTAAGTTCCCTATACTTTGCCCTTACCACTCTCCTTTTTTTACGGTTCCTAAATTAACTGTACACTTTCTTACTTTTCTTATTTGACAAATTATCTACATAAAAAAATTGTCAAACAGTGTAAAATGGTGTCAAACAGTGTAAAATGGTGTCAAACAGTGTTTAAATAGTGTAAAACAGTGCACTTCACAGTAAAGTCAAATTTATTTTCTTAATACGTGTGAAGTCAAACCGGAAACTTAATTGGGGGAGGGAGGGAGTATAAAGGATTCTCTCATCCTTCACTATATAATTTATATTTGCATTTTTTCACTCCAGACCATTTCTCCCTGTTCTTCATCCCTATTCCCTGATCATTCTTCTCTTTTCCAAAGCGAGATTTTCAAATTCTTGTCAAGATCTCGCTTCTCCATCACTTCTCAGTAAAATTGTTTTGGAGAAACAGATCACAGTGATTGGATTGGAGAACATAAATGGCTGCTCTGCAAAAATTCAAGCTCTTAGCGACCCAATGTACAATTGCTGGAAGCCCGACCCGAAGCCCGACGACCAGCCCTGTAGTCCACCTCCGTCGCCGGAAGACACTGCGTATGCTGCTTACCCTCGGCGGAAGTGGACGCCGGCAAGACAACGGCTCGCCAGATCTGTTTAGGAAAGGTACAGGGGAGGGGAAGGATCTGGTGGTCCGACAAAAACTCAAGGATTTGTTCGTCTCAGGGCCGCCGTCCCCCGGTGATGGTCCCTCGAAAAGTATAAGGGAGGGGTTGTTGTCGGCGGCGGAGGTTTGTAGAAATGGTGGTATTGGTGGTGAGTCTTCCATTGGACAAGTAGGAATCCGCTCTCCTCGGCCAATGTCGGCGACTTACCGGCAACGGTTACTCAGGAGAGTTTGGCGGCCAGTGCTTATGGCGATACCCGAGTGATCTACAATTGTAGGGAGAATTATAATTATAATAATTATAATTAATATATTAGTGCGTATTATAAATACAATTATTTATAATATTGCAAACTGTTTTTGTGCCAAAAAACATTCTTCGTTTTTATTTATGGAGTATAATATTACGAGTATTAATTACTGAGTTCTTTCCTCTCATATGGACTATGGTGCTTCGTCCCTAGATTTTTTCCTTAATCTTCTTTTGCTTTGTTTGCACATAATTCCTCTTTTTTAATTCTCTTTCCTTTTTTTGTTGATCTACTTTTCCATTGATTTCAATTTATGATGAATATTTAATGTGTTAATGTTTTATTTTTCTAATTTTAATTTAACGTAAATATTTATTAGTTTATTAAATATTATGTGCTAATTACTAACATGAGTTTTATGTTATACTGAAATGAGTAAGGTGTAAAATAATATGCATGTATAAAGATTATAAAAAGAACCCGATTATATTTGTAATTCCAGAATGAAAGACTATAAGTTATATTGTAATATAAAATTACGATTTTTCATTACCATATTTGTCATTATATATAATATAGGTGCACAAATGAATATTTATACACGTTAGAGAATTCAAACGAGCTTTTGAATTTTTCGATACTCAGTTTCTAAGTTATGTACGTTCATCTGGTACTAGTTTTATACTCATTCGAAAATGTCATATTAATCCATATTTCAAAAGTATCATATTAGATTCGTATAAGAGACTATATACATGGGAGCAAAGACCATGATACTCAATAGAAGAGCTTTGATTTTCAATGAAAATGTATTGATGCTGAACTAACAAAGCTTATTATTTTAATATCATTGCTCATTTAGTAAGTTATGTATGCTCATTTGTTACTTGTGTTATGCTCATTTTAAAATGTTATATCAATGCATATTTCAAAAGTATCATATTACATTAGATTGACGTGGAAATTGATTATAGATACTAGAGCACACATACCATGATACTCAATTGCAGATTTCCAATGTTCAATATAGGAAAGTTGATACTCAATGGAAATGTCTTGATACTCAATTTAATGTCTTAAAAATAGGTCAGATGTTCAATAGAACATTTGACCTATTTTATTGAGTATTAGGTGGCTAACAATGAGCATCAAATATCCACTATTAACATGAAAATCACGGTTTTTGGCGAATGAGCATTAATGAAATTTTAATGAGCATCAAAACTATTATGTTGAGTATTAGGAGTCTAGTATTCAGATTCGTGATCTCTACTTCGTAACTTCTAATTCACTTTCTTTCTTTTTTTATTTTTTCTTTAATAAAAAAGTATTTACATTATATTTATAATCAACTCCTATGAATTTCAATATGTGAATCTAATTTAGAATAGTACTTTTAAAAAGCATTGATATGACATTTACAAAATGAGCATGAGATCACTACCAGATGATCATACGTAACTTACAAAATGTTCATTGACGTAATGACATTTTTATTGAACATCAAACTTCCTCTATTGAGATGAAAATCACTGTTTCTGTTAAATGAACATTAATGAAATTGTAATGTGCATCAGACATATTATGAGCATTAAAACAGTTTTAATGAGCATCAGACTTATTCGGTTGATTAATGTGAATCTAATGTCATATGCAACTTTTAAAATTTGCATGAATATCATGACCTGTCCTGAGGAAATGAAGGCCCTGTGCAACAAAAATGATTGGACCTTCTTTTCAAAGTTTCAACACAAGTTAAAAAACCGAACCGAAACCGCACCGACTGAAACGGGACCCGAAAGTCGGGACTCGAACATAAATCGGTTTAATGAAGGTTTTTTGAGTTATAAAATCGGTTCAAACCGAACCGAACCGATTTTTATTAAGAGGTATTTTTAATTATTTATTTTGTAGAACAAATAGGTAATATAAAGCTTATAAGTTCTTATTTCAACAATTAGTTGATTCGATCAGTCCAATGGGTTGATGTTTAGAGATCAGCGTGCATGATTTTATTTTCACCAGGGTTTAAATCCCGCATGCCTCGCTTCTTATCTTTTTAGTTTCTAAAGCTTAAGATTCCCACACCGGTGAAAATGAAGGTGATGGATAGTGTACCCGGGGGGTAGCTTATCCGAGAGGTTACTACGGGAAGTAATAAGAGAGAAGTCAGAGCAAGTAAATATATAGAGAGAAAGTGTATTGCCAAGTGTGGAGCGTTTTCAGCGTGGTTACAAATGGGGAAATGGGGTGCTATTTATAGTAGCAATAAATGCCGGACAGGGACACGCGTCAAGCGCCCATTGGCCGAGAGGTCACCTCAACTGGTTGGCGCTGGCAGCCGCATGTGGCCGCATTTAATGCGGCTGTTGGATGGGACATCTGTACAGGGTACGGTGATCTGTACGCATGTGGTGCGGATATCATGTCGGGAGAGGTGCCCTCGGCTGCAGAGGACTAGCCGAGGGCTCTCAGTGCCGAGGACCCCTGAGTGCCGAGGGCTCCAGATGCCGAGGGCTACTGTTTTCTGCCGTTTTTCTCCCAGTTTCTTAGTTTGCTTGGAAAACCCGTTCTGTGAGAGTTTAGAGCCTTCGGCCAGGGGGCCGAAGGCATCCTTGGTGCGCTTTGCGGGCTGCTTGGTACTCTGGGCGCTGTGATTTGGGCATGTTGGGCCTGTTGGGCTTTCACTGGAGTAGTAGGAGTCTGTGGGCCGGGTGTTCCCGGGCCATATACTCCATCAGAAGAATTTAGTACTCCTTCGTTCCTATATATACACTCCACCTCTAAGTAATACTGGTATATTACTACAAAAAAATATTGGGTCTTTCCAATTTTTTGGGCCCTGTGCGGTTGGACACCCTACACACCCTCAGGGCCGGCCCTGATGAATATGACATTTTAAAAATGAGCACACTATGAGTACAAATTGAACAAATTTAACTTACAAAATGAGTATTGATATGAAAATCATAAGTTTTTAGTTGAACTTCAAGACAAATTTATTGAGTGTCAAACTTGCTCTATTGAGTATTTGAAACATGCAATTGAGTATCATGGTCTGTGCTCCTCTATCTATAATCGACTCCTACATGAATCTAAAAAATAAAATGGAACATTCAATAATATTTATATTATACATTTTCATAATAATCGAATATATATAACATTAAATTAGTAGAAGGTTGCTAAAGAAAAGAAGAACAAGCAAACAAAAAAGGGAATCAAGTCAATAAACAAAAGAAAAGAAACGAAGTAAGGATTAGCTGTTATAAAAAGGGTAATAAAAAAAAAAGAAACGAAGCAGCGGATGAACACAAAAAAAGAGAAGTAAGGATGAGATGCCGAAAAAAGGAGAATAAAAAAAAAGAAACAAAGCAGCGGCCAGCGGTGAAATACAGAAAAGAGAAGGATGCGCATGAGTGGAACAGGGAAGGAAGAAGCTCAATCTACTAATTACAAAAATCAGGATGTACATGTACACCCGGGTGTACCATATAAATTGCCCAAGTCGCAACTCTAGTTAGATACTTGTATTAGACATTTTATTACAATTACTCTTGATTACGGAGTACTTAAATCCATTTAATGTTACAAAAGCAAGATGGTAGTTTCGTAAAATCGCATTGTTAGTCATCTTCCTCCAAGCCACCTTAATTAGAAATCCAAAAATTTTGTAGGGTAGATGAGTATGAAAATAACATATTCAATCTGTTAATTCAACTTTTCTCTGTATATGATAACTAAAAACATAAATATATTATTATAAATATGGAGTATTTATTAAGGATTTTTTCTGAGTAATTATAGGTTTCAAATTACACATGTTGATGTAAAAAGACAAAGCTATATTATTCTTCTTATTATTAATTTTGGTACTTCATTTTTTTTAATAATCATTAAAAATAAAAATTTCAAAATCACTAGAAAAGTAGAAAATAAAGAAATCACCATCGCTATATTAAATTTTGGCCTTTGGATTATGAGCTTGTTTGATGATCCCCTTTTTCGGCTTATCAGGCTTATCAGCCAGATTTTTCACCAAACATGTAATTTTTGGTTTCGTGCGCTGAATTATGTAATAAGCAGAAAAAGTAAGGTTATAATTACTTTTCTGGCTGTATTGGCTGAAGTGACTGTAGAAGATAGATTCATAAATATCAGTAGAATCAGCCAATTTAACAAACGGGCTCTATATCTTTCATATTCCCCAAACGGTATCGACGATTCAAATTTTACTTATTCAAAATCTTTACAGTTTCATAGCACGTCATCACGTCGATGACATGAAATGGATAACAAATTTTCTTTGGCCTCTTTGTATACAAAGGTTCTACTACGTATGAAGGTTCCTGGGGGTGAGAGATTCCAACTTTTGGACCAAGTTGTAATACGTATAACTTTTGGGGATAAATAGCCCTAAGAATCCAACTTTGAAAGTCTCTATTCCGTTACGCCAAAGTTGAATTTGTGAAATTATGATTCATACGGTTAAATTTGTTAAATTATGAAAAAATACTCAGTAATATTTTTTTATAATAAAATAATGAAAATATATGAAATCTAGTAAGTCACTCTTTTAGTAAATCCAACTAATTTAGTCAAAAATATTTTTAACTTTAATTTAGTTATTTTTGGTTAGTACACAATCCAACATCTAAAGTCAAAATTACGTGTACTAAAAACTCGGTACAAAGCTTGCACCTTATTACTAGATACAAGTGTTAGAGGTACAATTCATATTAGTAGGGTGTAATTAAATTGGAAATTGAGCAAGGTAATTTACAAAACAGCCCACTTTGGAGTTAAACAGCCCACAATACAAACTGATGTTTGTACACACTTTTATACACACTTTTGTACACACCTATGTCCGTGAAAGCTTTTTTTTTGTCTGTGAGCATCGATTCACAGACAATGTTTTGCACAAACAAAATATTGTCTGTAAATCGAATTAACCGAGAGAAAAAAAAGTTTCATAAACATGATGTGTATAAGGTGTGTACAAGAGTGTGTACATCTAGCATGATTGTACCAAACTTGTGTTCCAAAAAAATTTACATTTGGATTGTTTGACCAGAAAGGGAGAAAGAATCACCAAATTAAATCAAAGTACACATAGTAATTTTGTCTAAATGTACGTGTTTGCGCTAACATATCCTGCGGCGTTAGCAATGATTTTGTTTGGGACATGGTGTGCACATCATTATG